CTCCTCGCCTGATGTGTGGTGACTCTATGGCCCTGAGGTACTATGGCAACGTTATCTGTATGAAGGCAATCGTACAACAAATACAATGGAGATTGCAAGAGGAGAAAACATGCAAATTACCGCCTGATCCAAAAACGATGGTTCGACATTACAAATGGTAATAAGCCAGTTGCTCTGTTTTCATCATATTAAAGGCACAAAACCACATACCTGAGTCAATATGACCACACTGCAGAAACAGGCAGAGGTAGATATTGCTTGAAAAGTTTTGCAGCACTGAGGACAACAACTTAAGGTGGTTTGTCCCTGAAACAGGATTCTCAACATCAAAAATATATGTTTGGTTTAGTTTGATTTTATTGCGCATGGTTAAAAGTGCAAGATCTTAATATTCTGTTACACCACGAATGTTATTTATGAGTATGATGTGACCAAAGACCAAGTCAGGTTAAAGACAGGCAAATCAGATGCTGAATTGAATAGCAAGACATAGCTTTAAACTAAACAGAGTAGTGGGAGGTCGTGGAGAGAGCATACACAGGCTAATAAAGCAAAAGGATATGGCGGCATTGCAGGACAGCTATTTAGGTAATGATACCCAGAGTGATACAGGAAACGATAGCGTGTGGAAGCATTTAAAATAAAAAGTAAATAGGGTCTTAATAAGTAGCCGAATTAAAGGTAACTTGTGGTGAGTTTACCCACAACACAGTGAAGGAGAAGGCTTCTAGGAAGGGGATAAACCAACCATGTTTAACCAAGGAATTTAAAGATAGTATCAAATTAAAATTAAAAAAAACAATGTGGCAAAGGTTAGTGGTAAGCCAGAGGATTGGGCCTGTTCTCAATGGTGTTTAGAAAAGTCTGAGGTGACCTTATTGAAACATTTAATATTCTTAGGGATCTTGATAGGGTAGATGATGAGCAGTTGTTTCCTCTTGTGGGGACAGTGCGGGACCAGAGGACATAACTTTCGAGTTAGGGTTCACTCAGTTGAGACAGAGATGAGGAGGAATTTCTTCTCGGAGGGTAATGTATCTATGCAATTCTTTCCCGCAAAGGGCTCTACAGGCTATATAGTTAAGTATATTCAAGGCTGAGGAAGATTTTTAATCAGTGAGGGAATCAAAGGTTATGGGGAAAAAGCAGGGAAGTGAAATTGAGGATGCTCAAATCAGCGAAATGGCTTATGTTTGCTCCTAAGTCTGAAGGTAAAAATTCAAAGGATTGTTTACTGATTACCTTAAAAACACATCCAATACAGTGATCACACTAGTGGAAGAACGTACGTGTTGCAGTAAGCTGCAGATTTCAGCATTCAGTACGTTGATGGTTACAGGACATTTGTCATCTTAAAAATAGAAATCTTCCTGATTCAAATACCCTGATTTGAGAAAGCCAGTGGTCAACTGACTTTAGGGCGTTCACTGATTGCAACATAGCAGAAATATCTAACTTCTGTGACTTTTCAGTGTCAGCTGGCTCAACCTAAAGGCATGAGGGGCATTCAAAATTTCCAACTGCTCAAGAAGAACAGGCAATTCAGCAAAGGAAAATCTTATGAGCATCTTGGATACTTAATTGCCTAATTCTATTTTTTAGGCAGGCTTTGAGCATTCGGCATTCTTGCTGAAAACAGGCAAACACTGCTTGAATACACAAATATAGACTGTCAGACCCCAACTGCAGTTTTATTGTTCAAGTAGGCACGGCATGCATCAGGCTTGCGTGTCCATGTATACTTAGTGTTGAACAGATTAACTAGTCCTTAAAAGGACTGTTGCAAGCTGCTTAGGAAAAGCTTTTCATTTGGTTGATTTTTGTGAGGCCAGGAGGAGCATTCAACATCCAGTTTTCTGTTCCTCTCCACCCTAACTGCCAGATGCATCAGTGAAAACCTAAGGTTTCATGACAATGAGCATTTTAAAACCCATTTTGGGTTTAGGAAAATCCATTTTTCCAGTGGTATTTTAACAGTTAGATGAAGTAATTTTTGTAGCTGCACACAAGTGAAGGCACACAAGGTTGGCAGGATGTCATGAGTGGCATGCACAACGGTTGGTGCTGGAGCTTCAACTCTTTACAATTTACATCAATGATTTGGATAAAGGGATTGAAGGTATGGTATCTGAATTTGCTGATGACACAAAGATAGGTAGGAAAGTGAATTGTGAAGAGGACGTAAGGAGCCTACAGAAGGCTATAGAATCAAAGAATCCCTACAGTGCAGAAAGAGGCCATTTGGCCCATCGAGTCTGCAATGACCCTCTGAAGGATCATGGTTATTACCATAACCCCAGATTTACCATTGCCAATCCACCTAATCTGCACATCTCTGGACTGTGGGAGGAAACTGGAGAACCCAGAGGAAATGCATGCAGGCACGGGGAGAATGTGCAAACTCCACACAGACAGTCACCCGAGGCTGAAATAAAACCCAGTACCCCGACCCCACTGAGCCACCATGCCACCTGTGATTTGATTGAAACATAAGATCCTGAGGGGTCTTATGAGTCTGGTTGTGGTGAGGATTTTCAGACAAGCCATGATCTCATTGAATGGCAGAGAAGGCTGGAGGGGCTGAGTGGCCTATTCCTGCTCCTAATTCATATATGCATAGGACCATGAAACTATCATTGATTGTCACAGAAAAAAAAATCATCTGGTTCACTATGTCCTTTAGGGAAGGAAATCTGCCGAGCTTACCGGTCTGCTCAACGTGTGACTCCAGACCTATGGCAATATGGCGGAGTCTTAACTCTTCACCAACAACACAAAAACTGATGTTCTGTCGATCATTATCATGTTACTGGGTGTCAGTTAGCTAGGTTGGTTGTATTGCTAGTCTGTAATGCAGAGCAAGACCAACAGTGAGGGTTCAACTCCCACCGAGGTCACAACAGAAACACTCTCCCTCTCAACTTCTTCTCCTGCCAAGAGGCAGCCACCCCCAAGCCAAACCTGAGAGAGCAGCCCTGTGGCCTGGTAGGACAATGATTGCTCTTTGTGGGAGCTTGCTGTCCACAAATTGTCTGTTCTTTCTACATAACAAAAGTGACTATGCTTCAACAGTACTTTAGATAGGTTAAATTAGAGGACAAAGATCTGGCAAACGGAAATAAATGTGACACTGTCCATTTTGGGAGAAAGAATAAAATATTATCTAAATGGTGAGAGTTTGCAGAGCTCCGAGATGCAGAGAGATCTGTGTGTCCTCGTGCATGAATCACAGAAGATTAATACGCAGGTACACCAAGTAATCAGGAAAGCTAATAGAATGTAACATTTTATTGCGAGGGAATTAAATGCAAGAGTAGGGAGGTTATGCTTCAGTTATTCAGGACATTGTGAGACTGCATCTAGAGCACTGTGTATTGTACTAGTCATTGTACTTACAGAAGCACGTTAACATGTTGGAAGCAGTCAAGAAGAATACCTGGAATGAGTGGGTTGCTCTATGAGAAAAGACTTGACAGGCTGTGTCCTCTGGAGTTCAGAAGAGTCAGAGGTGACTTAACTGAAACATATAAAATCCTAAGGGGACAATACCGGATGGATGTAGAAAAAATATTTCCTCTTTTAGGAGAATCTAGAACTACGGTTACAGTTTAAAAATAAGGGAATGCCCATTTAAGACAGAAATGAGGATTTTTTTTTTTCCTCTGAGGGTTGAGAGTCTTGGAATTCCCTTCCTCAAAAGGCAGCACATACAGAATCTTTAATTATTTTTAAAGCAGAGGAAGATAGATTCTAGATTGCCAAGGGGCTGAAAGAGTACCAGGGGTTTGTAGGAATGTAGAGTTGAGATTAAAATCAGATCAGCCAAAATCTTATCGAATAGCTGAGCAGGCTCAAAGGACCGAGTAGCTTATTCTTGTTCCTTGATCGTGTGGTTACATGGGTAGCATTTACCTTTTACCTAATTATCTGCCATTTTGGCTAAGGAATGGAGGCCAAAAAATGATGCAAAATAACTAACAGGTAATTGTAGGTAGAGAAGCTTGAAATGTGCTGAAAACATCTCCAATACAGATTGCAGCTGCACTGAAAGGTTGAGATTCTGTGATTCCAACCTAAAAACTTCCAAAGTATTCCCTCTTGCTTTTGTAAAAGTACCAGCTGAGACTGAATACAGTTCCATTAATGCCAGAGAAACTTACACTGATACTGGCAGTAAATTTGTAGAGATCAAATGAAATTTTCATGACAGTTGTACAAGTTCGTACCAATTTACAGCTAATTTCTTCAGATCCTAGGGACATTTGTCCGGGTTTGTACAAATTTCCTGCCATACCAGCAGCTCTCCAGTTAATCTTTTACACATGAGCCTAGACAGCGAGTGTCATTAGACTTCCAACAAAATCCAATTCCATCTTCACCAGGTGTCTACACATCAACATTTTGATATGGGGATGGGGTAGGCAATGAAAAGGAGGAACCTTGACTGTTTTTTGCGCTGACTAACCCAGGAACAAAACTGACTCAGCATGTACTAGCTACTGAACCTGGGATCTTCCTGGAAAAATCAGGGATAATGAAAACTGAAGACAAACACAGAACAGAGTGGAAGCACATAGTAAGTCAGTCAGCCTCAACAGAAAGAAGACTCAAGTTATAACTTATCAGGATTCTAACCTTCATCATAATTGTTGTATGTTTTGAGGTTTGATTTGGGAATATATATGCTTCTATGACCCCTGATAAATGCTAGAGTGAAAGATAGACAGACAGATAGTTATCGAGTCAATGTCAATTCGGAAGTCAACAGTGGCGTTTGGGGAAAGAAACAGATTCAAGGTTTGTTCATGACTGGGTATTTTTGTTCATTATCCAATGATATACATTACACCGAATACTCTATAATAACAGGTAAAGTAGCCGAGTAACATAAACTTTATCATGAATATGGGATGCATATTTAATTACTCCCTTGCCAAATAAACTCACAAGCCTGAGACAGAGTATCAGAGAATGAAAAATAAAACTATGTTTCCACTTAATTTGGACCTTTTTACTTTTATTGAGAGATTTACTTTTCAAATAAAAAAGGTTATTATAAGTGAAAGAATTGACATTAAGACGATTTAAAGATACTATTCAAACTTGTGCACAGTTCACGTAACCTTGAAGAAGCCTTTCCCCTATGCTGGGCTTCAATATGTCAGAGGTGATAAACCAGAGTCTTATGAAACCTGGCAGGTATCACTGTGTTTAAGATGTTGCTTGATGCTCTCACTGGTATTTAAATTTCCCCTCAACTCCACATCATCATTAGTTGTTGTGTTCTCAGGATTTTGTTCATTCTTTGTTTTGCTTTCTTGACCATATGTATCCATTTCAGGTTCAGATGTAATACTCTCTGTTGAATTTTGCATTTCCTCATTGGATAGATCTGTCATGAGTCGTGCAGCTTCTTCAATGAGTTCGGTCATTGTCTCCTTTCTTTCTGGGAACGTCAGCTCAAGTTCACCATCGACTAGCCCCTTCTGAGACAACTCATTCATTTCCTCCTCAATCTCAGCACTTATTGATTCTATTCCTTTGCTCTCTTTCCCCCTGTGCTGTGCTTCCTTTGCAAGTACATATTCTTCATCCTGTTCTTTTATTTCATCTCCTCTTTCCCCATTTATTTCATCCTTGTGACTATCAATATAATCCTCCTTGCTCATTTGCCTCTCACTGTCTGATAAACTCTTCTGCCGTGTCACTATTTTTTTAAACAGTTGCTCCAACATGTCAAATGCCCCCTTTTCCTTTCCACCAGTGTTTTGTTCAGCACCATCCCCATTCTGTGTTTCTTCCCCATCCACGTGTACCTTCCCGTCAGTTACAGTTTGCTGCTTTCTCAGGTCTAAATTTGCATTTGTTTCACTCCTCTCTTTGTTGTCCTTTTGTGTTAGACTTTCTCTTGCATTTACCTCTTCTTTAACACTCTCTTCCTCTCTTGTTCTGCTATCCTCTCTTTCATTTACTTCATTGACAGATAATTGTAGCCCCTGGTCCATTTCTTCATTCTTTACAAGATGTTCATTGTCTAGCTCTTTCTCGTCTCTTTGACTCGGAGCTTCATATGCAAATAGCTTTCTTTCACCCCCTTCCACCCCATTACTCAAAAACCCTTCACTGGATATTTCCTCTTTTGTTCCATCCTCGTTTCCCTCATTTTTCTCTTCATTAATTTCCCTTTTTTGTACAGTTTCCCCTGAAGTAACTTCACTTACCTCTAATATTAACTTGTTCTGTTCTTTCTCCTTGCAGTCGTTGCTTTCATGATATTCTGTGTCCTTTTCTTTACTCACCAATTCCAACTGTTCTAAAGTTTCACTTCTACGGCCTTCCATAACTTTCTCACTATCTTCAATTAGATCATTAGATCCTTCCGCATGTGTATCATCTTCACTCTGTTGTGTGAATATGTTCATACTTCCCTCTTGATCATTTCCATTGGAGATGTCTTCAATAATTTTCATACTTTGCTGTCTGATGGATTTGGTTTCAAAGGCATCAACTAAGTGCTCGAACTCTATATCTTGTGGGGTTACTGCTGAGCCCTGAAGTTTCTCCACGTAGTATTTCCTCATTTTGTCTGATTTAAACTCCATTTTCTTTGCATCCAAGTACCCATGATATTGGAGGTTACGCTGAATATTTTTATCTACATTCTCTCTGGCAACAATTTCAGTGCCCTGTATGAAAATAAAAGTTTGTTTTATTATGTATTAGGTGTATCAGTTATGGTCATATTATAAAATTAGTTGTAATGAAAATTACATGTGCAATATTGTTATGGACCCCCAGACCAGACCCCCTCAAAATATATTAAAAAAGGTAGCCTAGACCCTAGCTTTTTCTTATTTTAAAGGTGAGTTTGAGGTGCTGTGTTCCAGATGCAATTCAATTGGTCAAACTACTCTAAATTAAGCAAAACACAATTTATTCGAACAATAGAGTTAAAATACAATAAAAGAAAAGGAACTTGGAATAACTTAATTCTATTGGAAAACTTAACAAAATAATAGATTATTTTGCTACTAAACAGTAACTGGTCCAATATTGTAATGTCCCATAAACACACCCTTGGCATAAAGCAAATTGAGAAAACAGAATTGTCTTTACTAAAATCGTAGCCTTTCTAAAAAAATCCAATGGTGTTTAATATATTAAAAGAGACTAAGGAAAGGAAAAGGATTATCTTAATTATTCATTGAGAAACTTAACAGAATGCAAGCTACTGGAAGGTCTTTTTTTCAAATGAACGGGGTCATTTACAAAACAAATACTGTCATTCAGTTAGAATTTACAACATTCAGTCGAGATTGTTAATACAGTTACCCTGCTCAGATCACTCATAGCTGATATTGGAGTTCTCTTTGGTAATATGTCCATGTGCGCTAAACATAAATTAGATGGAGAACTCACTTCCCTATATTAGTACAGTTGGAAAACATAACATTCTCCCACTGGAGAATTTTCAATTTCCTTAGTGCATTGTAACCTGTCACCAGAAGATACATTGCAAATATAATGTGAGATGACCAAGTCATCTAATGTGCAAGTTGGGAAGGTCAAACAAGTTCTGCGGAATCCTAAGTCTTTGCAGTGTTATCTGGCGTGTCCAGGCTCCAGCTTAACAGTGAGCTGTATTAATAGAGTCATGCACAATGATTCAGGCAAAAACAAATCGGACAGGGGAAAGCTTTCTGATCAAAATGCACATGCAGCATTATGCAGTCTGCGGCTTTTGTAAAGTTTTCTCACCAACCTTTTTGGACATTTGGCACATCCATAAAAACTGTTACTAATTTTTACAAATACCCCATAGAAAGCATCCTGTCCAGATTCTTCACAGCTTTGTATGGCAACTATTCTGCTCAGGACCGTAAGAAACTACAGAGAGTTGTGAACAGCCCAGTCCATTACGCAAACCATCCTTCCATCCATTGACTCCATCTGCACTTCCTGCTGCCTCAGAAAGGCAGCCAACATCATCAAAGACCCCTCCCAC